TGCCGGCACTGTGCATTAACACCCTGTGGAACAGTAATCACTATAGAGTACAGGGAATAGGTGTATGCTGAGCTAGCACAAAGAGGTTGGGTCGCATCCTAATGGTGTACAGTGACGTCCTCTCCTCATCTCCTACCCTTCACCACACTGTTCTGAAAACTCATGATAGAGTGTGTGTGTGTGTGTGTGTGTGTGTCTCCTGGGGCAGACTGGTCAATGAGTACAGCATCCTGGGAGTAGTAGGGTCTGCTGTGTGACACCAAGACAGCCTGAGGGCACAGGTGTGTGTACACAACACAAACCTCAGTAGCCAATAGCCATGTGTGTATACTGCCCTCTCTAGGCGGTGTGTGTATTTCAGCATTACTGTGTGTGTGTGTGTGTGTTTTTATAGTAATAAATGAGAGAAAGCGTTGAGTGTTTGCAGTGGCAGAGAGCAGGGCCTGAGGAAGGTCCCAACTAGTCTGCTAATCAGTCATTGACACACACAGAGCCAGCCTGGCGCGTGGCCTACAGCACATTCAGAGAAAGAGAGATACCAAAAACAGGGCTAGAGGGCCAACTCAGGTAATTACTTTCAGAAACAGCACCAAAGAGAGAAAGACATCTTGTCCACTGAACCTCATTGGCTCACAGACAGGAACTAATGGAGGTAATTAACCAATCATTCCATCCTATTACTCTGACCAGGAATCAGTCAACACTTTCCTGACCAGACCCAACTGACTGACAGACAGGTCTCAAGGTAAATTACCATTAATTAACAAACACTTTAGCATCTCCAGACCTCCACACATACAAGCAGCATACAAGCCACTGATGCATGCCTTTGGAACATCTACATTTCTAATAAATAAATTTAAATGTACACCATCACAATAAATCCATTATTTATTTTAGGCAGGTCTAATGAGAAATGCATTTCAGATTAACAAAATATGAGTTGGCCTACTGTACGTTATCTGGCTATTCGCCCTGCCATAGGCAGTAGGATAGTTCTGACAATATATGCTTATAAGTCCTGTGTCATTATTTTATATTATCTGATTTTATAGTAAGAATATAATTGAACTCAGCTGAAAAAAAATGGAAAGGATATTTTTCCCATTCCGGAGCGAGTGCGCATATGAAGGCTATGTTGAACGTAAACGTGATCATTTGAAACAGGTTCTATAGGCTACGCTAGATTTAGAGTTATTTGGCAACTTTAGTTGTTAATGATACAAACCTTAAAACATATGGGCTGCATGATGCGACTATCGGCCATTGATGATTTCGCACAAAAATCTTGCGCTCCTCTCTTGCCTCAGGCTGCGCATGCTGTTCTCTTATCAAGTGATCATATTTTCACCCAGACTATTCTCAATTGAATCTTGTCATTAATAATAAGTAAAATTAGTTTAGATTTAGAATGGCCCATTCTAAATGGGCAGGAACAGGGGAAAAATACGTAATCTGCCTATGCACTCGAATAGCGAATGGAAGCCGCTTTCCCGTATGTTTGTTCGTGTAGGCTACTCGGGTTATTTCACTCCATGCATCAACCACTGTTTGACGAGCGTGCAGCCTCTCGCTGCGCGACAGGTGATATTCCGCCCAAACTCTGTATGCCATGGGCTCCCCAACCCTGTTCCTGCAGCTACAAAGTGCTTAATTTGGGAAAACAAGTGAAATCTGTTTAGGAACATCGATAGTAACATGTTTTCACAACTAACAATATTTAATTAAACTTGACAGCGCCGCTCTGCGCCCTTGAGAAAGGAATGAAGGAGAGGAGACGGAAACGCACCGTGGTGAAACATTCTGTAGCTAAAAGGTAGCCTAATGTGTCATCCTATTAATTATGAAAATATCAAACACCCTATTACTAGGCTATTCAAAATCAACTGTAAGCCGCCCTGCACAATCAATGAACCAACAGCATCGCTTTGGCCTATAAATTCTCTCCCACTCATGGATAGAAACTTCAGTGTAGCATAAGGTCCATCCAGTATGCATAATAATAATACAGTCCACACTCAAAGGCCATGACTAGAATTTGTTTAATTTTGGAATATAGGCTAGACCAATGAAATATATCTTAAATCAATGTAAATGTTTTTCTGCAGTGCATAATATGGATAGGTTGGCACAATTAATGTGTATTACTTTTTGAAACAACATCCACAATGACCATGTTTTCCACTGTTTCAACCAATTGTTGAACTTCTTCAAATTCAGCAATCAAAGTGAGGAGAGTTTTAAAAGCACAATACTGTTTTTGATAAGTGTTTGATGTGATTATCGATTGCATTGATGTCAGAGTGGTTAGAAGGACAATAGAGCCCTGAGTACCTTGCCATTAGCGACTTGGCTACTACCAACGCACGTCCTGGGTCCATAAAAGGAGATGACCATGACAACGGTTCCCTGGAACTTTACTGTGGACATTACCAAACCCAAACGGAATATGCGTCTCTTTCTTCTTCTATTTTCTGCCTCTAGTGCAGTAACATTATTTAATAACATTGAGAACACGGTTTTATGGAAATAAATGCTTAATTCTGTGTATTAGATGACAATGAACCTATGGTTATCCTTCTACTAAAGCTCAGTTAAAAATAACCTCTACACAGACTGAACCTTTATTTGATCCTTTTATAGTAAATGTTTCCTTATGGAAAAATATGATAGATAAACAAATAGTGTCAAAGTGCAAAGGCATATAAATACAAATAATACATTGATGAATCCATCTATAAATATATAAACACCAAATAGATTAGATTAACAATTCTGTATCTTCGTTCCATTCCCCATATACAGTTGAAGTCGGAAGTTTACATACACCTTAGCCAAATACATTTAAACTCAGTTTTTCACAATTCCTGACATTTAATCCTAGTAAAAATTCCCTGTCTTAGGTCAGTTAGGATCACCACTTTATTTTAAGAATGTGAAATGTCAGAATAATAGTAGAGATAATGATTTATTTCAGCTTTTATTTCTTACATCACATTCCCAGTGGGTCAGAAGTTTACATACACTCAATTACTATTTGGTAGCATTGCCTTTAAATTGTTTAACTTGGGTCAAACGTTTCGGGTAGTCTTCCACAAGCTTCCCACAATAAGTTGGGTGAATTTTGGCCCATTCCTCCTGACAGAGCTGGTGTAACTGAGTCAGGTTTGTAGGCCTCCTTGCTCGCACACACTTTTTCAGTTCTGCCCACACATTTTCTATAGGATTGAGGTCAGGGATTTGTGATGGCCACTCCAATACCTTGACTTTGTTGTCCTTAAGCCATAACTTTGGAAGTATGCTTGGGGTCAATGTCCATTTGGAAGACCCATTTGCGACCAAGCTTTAACTTCCTGACTGATGTCTTGAAATGTTGCTTCAATATATCCACATAAGTTTCCTTCCTCATGATGCCATCTATTTTGTGAAGTGCACCAGTCCCTCCTGCAGCAAAGCACTCCCACATCATGATGCTGCCACTCTCCCGAGTGGCGCAGTGGTCTAAGGCACTGCATCGCAGTGCTAGCTGTGCCACTAGAGATCCTGGTTCGAATCCAGGCTCTGTCGTAGCCGGCCGCGACCGGGAGACCCATGGGGCGGCGCACAATTGGCCCAGCGTCGTCCAGGGTAGGGGAAGGAATGGCCGGCAGGGGATGTAGCTCAGTTGGTAGAGCATGGCGTTTGCAACGCCAGGGTTGTGGGTTCGATAAAATAATGTATGTGCTAACTGTAAGTCGCTCTGGATAAGAGCGTCTGCTAAATGACTAAAATGTAATGTAAAAATGTGCTTCACGGTTGTGATGGTGTTCTTCGGCTAGCAAGGTCTCCCTTTTTCCTCCAAACATACCGATGGTCATTATGGCCCAACAGTTCTATTTTTGTTTCATCAGACCAGAGGACATTTCTCCAAAAAGTACGATCTTTGTCCCCATGTGCAGTTGCAAACCGTAGTCTGGCTTTTTTATGGCTGTTTTGGAGCAGTGGCTTCTTCCTTGCTGAGGGGCCTTTCAGGTTATGTCGATATAGGACTCGTTTTACTGTGGATATAGATACTTTTGTACCGGTTTCCTCCAGCATCTTCACAAGGTCCTTTGCTGTTGTTCTGGGATTGATTTGCACTTTTCGCACCAAAGTATGTTAATCTCTAGGAGACAGAACACGTCTCCTTCCTGAGCGGTATGACGGCTGCTTGGTCACATGGTGTTTATACTTGCATACTATTGTTTGTACAGATGAACGTGGTACCTTCAGGCGTTTGGAAATTGCTCCCAAGGATGTGGAGGTCTAGAATGTATTTTCGGAGGTCTTGGCTGATTTCTTTTCATTTTCCCATAATGTCAAGCAAAGAGGCACTGAGTTTGAAGGTAGGCATTGAAATACATCCACAGGTACACCTCCAATTGACTCAAATGATGTCAATTAGCCAATCAGAAGCTTCGAAAGCCATGACATCATTTTCTGGAATTTTCCAGGCTGTTTAAAGGCACAGTCAACTTAGTGCATGTAAACTTCTGACCCACTGGAATTGTGATACAGTGAATTATAAGTGAAATAATCTGTCTGTAAACAATTGTTGGAAAAATTACTTGTCATGCACAAAGTAGATGTCCTAACCGACTTGCCAAAACTTTCGTTTGTTAACAAGACATTTGTGGAGTGGTTAAAAAACTAGTTTTAATGTCTCCAACCTAAGTTTATGTAAACTTCCGACTTCAACTGTAACTATTCATTAACTATTATCAAATTGATTCAAACCAAAACACAGGAAGAGTAGAGTGGTAGAGTTGGTGGGTGTGTGAGACTGACATGCTTTTTAGTGCTCAATGCGATTATACTTTGCAAACAACATTTCTCTGTGAGGCTCCTTCTACGCTGACTAACATCTGATAAATGTGAGAAAAGTCTCTACATCGACTGAGGTAGTGGGGAGGCACAGATGTATCGCCGCAATGTGAGCTAAGGCTGGCATCCTGGCCTGCCTAGCTGCCCAATGCACTCACTTCCATAGAGTCTGCCTTGTCGATGCCCATGTGTCTGTGCCACTCCTCTGCAGACACCTGGCTCAGAGCAGGGACGGCATGGACATAGTCCTTAGTGTCCTTTCTTGCGCCTACCACCTGGGCTGGATCTAGAACAGTTATTGACTTGAACATGTGAAGGCAGGGGTGCTTGTCCAGCACAGTCTGCAGCTTGATTGAGCATGCTGCCATGGCAGACTGGAACAACTCAGTGCAGGAAGACCAGGAGAGCTGGTCTTCCTTTGGAAGCTGCCCCAGCAGCTCAGTTGTATGAGGGTGCCAGTCGTCAGCACCAGCTGTTCTGCCATACTCAAACTGTATTTGCAGGTCCTCCAGCTTGCTGGCGATGTTGTGGGCTGCTGGCACAGAGGTCTCCTCCAGCTTTGTCAGGTTAGCCACCATCTGGTTCACCAACTACTTCTCAGATAGAGTTCAATGTGTCAAAATCGGAGGGCCTGTTGTCTGGACCTCTGGCAGTCTCTATGGGGGTGCCACAGGGTTCAATTCTCGGGCCGACTCTATTCTCTGTGTATATCAATGATGTCGCTCTTGCTGCTGGTGACACTCGGATCCACTTCTATGTGGACGACACCATTTTGTATACATCTGGCATTCATTCATTGGACACTGTGTTAACAAACCTCCAAACGCCATACAACACTCCTTCCGTAGCCTCCAACTGCTCTTAAAAACACTAGTAAAACTAAATGCATGCTCTTCAACCGAACGCTGCTTGCACCCGCCCACCCGACTAGAATCACTACTCTCGGCGGGTCTGACCTAGAGTATGTGGACAACTACCTAGGTGTCTGGTTAGACTGTAAACTCTCCTTCCAGACTCACATTAAGCATCTCCAAATCAAAAGTTAGATCTAGAATCGGCTTCCTATTTCGCAACAAAGCCTCCTTCACTCATGCTGCCAAACATGCCCTCGTAAAACTGACTATCCTACCGATCCTTAACTTCGGCGATGTCATTTACAAAATAGCCTCCAACACTCTACTCAGCAAATTGGATGTAGTCTATCACAGTGCCATCCATTTTGTCACAAAAGCCCCATATACTACCCACCATCATGACCTGTACGCTCTTGTTGGCTGGCCAAATCACTGCTAGGCAAATCCCTGTCTTATCTTAGCTCACTGGTCACCATAGCAACACCCACCCGTAGTCTGCGCTCCAGCAGGTATCTCTCACTGGTCATCCCCAAAGCCAACACCTCCTTTGGCCGCCATTCCTTCCAGTTCTCTGCTGCCAATGACTGGAACGAACTGCAAAAATCTCTGAAGCTGGAGACTCTTATCTCCCTCACTAACTTTAAGCGTCAGTTGTCAGAGCACCTTACCGATCACTGCACCTGCACACAGCTATTCTGAAATTAGCCCATCCAACTACCTCATCCCCATATTGTTATTTATTTTGCTAATTTGCACCCCAGTATCTCTATTTGCACATCTATCATTCCAGTGTTAATACGAAATTGTAACTATTTTGCACTATGGCCTATTTATTGCCTTACCTCCATAATTGACTACATTTGCACATACTGTATATATATTTTCTGTTGTATTTTTGACTTTGTTTTGTTTACCCCATATGTAACTCTGTGTTGTTTTTTTATCGCACTGCTTTGCTTTATCTTGGCCAGGTCGCAGTTGTAAATGAGAACTTGTTCTCAACTGGCTTACCTGGTTAAATAAAGGTGAAATAAAAAACATAATGAAGAAAATCTCCACAATGAACAATGCCTGGGCCTTCAGTTCCCTCAGCAGCTCACAAAGGTCCTGGACACACTTCGCCGTTTCTGGTAAGGTCCTAGTGAAGTTGGTGAGCACATCCATGTACTCTGCAAGGTACGCCATAGCACGTATCCAGGAGCCACACCTGGTCTGCACAGCATACACAGGCATCACAGTAGAATGGCCATTTTCCAGCATGAATGATGTCAGCGCCAGACGACGTTGGGGTGCCTGAAAGAACCTTCACCAGAGCACACAGCCTGTTCACGTCCTCAAACATCTCTGGAAAAACATCCAGCACCAGGCTCAGGAGATGGGCAAAGCAGGTGACGTATACGGAGTTGGGGAAGAGGCCCTTCAAGATGCTGGTGAAAGCCTTCTTCATGTAGCTAGCTGAATCGCTTACAAAAGCTGACACATTGTTAAAGTCAACCCCATTGTTGTTGAGACTGGAAATGACAGCTTGGGACACAGTGGTAAAGTTAACTCTATCCAAGAAAGCCAGATCTGCTACAACAGGTCGCTTATCCACTGGCTGGAGTAGGATGGCGAGTGCACATCTTCCAAAGGCATCGGTCGTCTCATCAAGGATGACATAAATGTCCTTTCCCTCTACAGCATCTTTGATGTCCTGTTTATATTGTGGATAGAGGCCTGGTAGGTACTCTGTACGCAGATGGGATGGCACTGGGAAAGACCCTCCCTGCTTGCAGTGTTTCTTCAGAAATGTGGAGAACTTGGGCCCCATCTCAAGTATATCTGCTTTGATTAATGTTCTTGTGAAGTCCAAGATGAACTCCTTTCTCTCTGTGGAGGGGGTCTTTGTCAGACAGGAGGCCAGGGTCTGTGTTCTTGTTTGGACAAAAAAAAAAAAAAAAAAATTGTTAAATTAAGAAAGAAGAGTTCAATAGCAGGCCTACAGTGGATCTCAAGCTTTGAAGCTAAGCACACGCTCTCCTGAAGCGACACACACACAAACCTGACACAGAGGCCTGGAACACACAGACAAAAACACACAGCCCATAAACCTGACAGTATGTCTCACACGAAGACTAAAAAAAGTTTTAAAAAAAGTCGGTGACTTGCTTCTTTTGTCATTCCTAACTTGTTACTTGTTTTGATAGCTCCACCATGTCACTTTGGCTAACTTGTTAGCTAGCACACATTACCTCTGCTAAGTTAGCTAGCTAGCCTAAATGACGTGATGGAGCGACATGGGAAGCTTGCCAGGCTAAAGTTAGATAGCTAACTTGCCACTATGTAGATAGACAATTTAATTGTCAAGAACAGATATTAGCAAACTAGAACAAACCTACTAGCTAGTTAATGTCTGTAGCTAGCTAAAGCATCAGAATGTTTACCTGGTCCACTAGCCCTCCTATTTTTGAGTCGGAGTGACCTCAGGTGCTCCACCGCAGTTTGACACTGTATGTAGTCGATTGAATGCTGACAGACTTTGCAGAAAAGTACTCCTCCATCCTCGTACAGTTCAGCTGGAAACTCCTCCTTCCTGTCACCTCAGCCCTTATCGCCCAGAGTCAGATAGGAATCCCACAGACCATTTCACACAGAGTAAAACTAACCGCCGTGTGTACTCCTCTCAGGAGAGGGAAAAACCCATTGAGGACGAGTGTGTAAAACTAGCTACTGTGTATGCGTATTGGTGCATGACTGTGTGTAATCCTCTCAGCAGAGGGAGACTGAGGGAGGCTATTAACCTTGAGTAGAAGAGAAAAGGGACAAGTGGTTAAATAGATAGGTGCTCTGCTGTTCATGCTGATAACCAGTAATAAGAGATTAAGCACGTAAAAGCAATATCTAATCTGTAATTTCTCATGTCTAGTACCTTGGGTTTAATACAGCGGTTAAACTGACCTTTATCTGGGTGGTTCAGGACCATGATCCTCCGGTGGGCATCTCTCACCTTGGACTTGGTGCTGGTTGGGCTTCAGGGGAAGCGACAGATAAAGGTTTGAGGTTAGAGAGGGATGGTTGGGCTATACAAAACAGATTTAGAGCAGAATTACAGCACCATCTAGTGGCTACACCACAGACTGACAAGTTGCAGTAAAACCCATCCAGTTCTTCTGACCACTAAACTAGTCAGTGGTGTTCTGTTCTCTCCCTAATGTGATAGACAGTGTGAAATTGAACTAAACCAGGAAGAGAGATGACTAATATAAACCCATCAAAGACCCAGAGAAATCACACACATCCTTAGCTTGAACACACACACACACCTGCACAAAACAGGTAACATTTGCACACACCTGCACAAAACAGGCAAGCATGAGTAGCACGCACACACACACAAGCATGATTTTAGCAGTCTTACCTAATACCAAGGATGAGGCTGGCTTCTCTTTTAGTCATCTTCTGGTCAAACCCTCCTTTATAATGGTAGGATGAGAAGGCCTGGAGAGAGAGGAGAGATGTCAGTACTGAAAGTATACAACACACCTGTATTTATCAGTCACCTCACCTACTGACTGCTTATAAACGTATCCTTCTGTCCTCAGTTTAAATGTTTATAGTATGAAAGGTGGAAGTGCATTATTTGGTACAACAGATCAGAGATCAAAACTGTCAGAGATATGAGTAGTTGTTTGGTTAGGGTTCAGTAACTCCCTTCGCTCACACACTGCTTTGTCTCACACATGCTGGGAGTGACTCCCACAGACACAGTGTGAGAGGTCTGATCACTCAACTATCGCACGTCACGCACTGCCTCAAACACACTATATGGAATGACTGTTTCACTCACACACACGCAAAGTGGGTCATCAAGAAGTGCAGCTGTGTGTCTGCCCTTTCTGACCCCTCCCTGTCCCAGCTGACCTAGGTGCCCTCCAACTGAACTTGGGTACACAGACACACAAAACCGGTTCAAGAGGAGGTGAGAGGGCAGTGGGTGCATAATTCGTCTGGGAACCTGTTGTTGGAACCTCTGGCCTGTGGAGACAAACTCAGGTGCAGCAGGGGAATGTCTACTGTGAGTCAGTCCACCCACAGGCGCAGGTAGCCTAGCGTTTAGTGTTGGACCAGTAACCGAAAGGTCCCTGGTTCGAATACCCGAGCTAACAAGGTGAAATAAAATCTGTTGATGTGCCCTTGAGCAAGGCACTTCATTCTATTTTGCTCCAGGAGCGCCATACTACTATGGCTGACCCTGTAAAACAACATTTTACTGCACCTATCTTTTGTATGTGACAACAACAAAAAACATCACCCTACAGACAGCCAGTCCACCCACTACCCGACCTACAGACAGTGGGATGAACACTTCACCACAAACACGCAACGAAACAGTGGTGCTTGGTGACTGATGGGGCAAAACATGAAACCCCCAGTTTTGCCAATGTGTGCACGTGTAGGGTGGTGGGAGAATTTTCTGCAAAACCAGTGGGTGTCATCACTGATCATGCATAGCTTCAGTGCTGTGTTCTAATAAAAGACAAACAGCAAACAGTAGGTAGAAGTCGCTCAAAACCACCCTATATGTTTCATCCCCCTTATTGTTAAGGTTAGGATTGTGGTACTCTCCTAGACCTGTGAACCACATAGCTAAGTTAGTTGGTTACTTACTGAGGTGGGCATCTTCTTAGCAGTCTGTGACAGGACCTGTCCTAGAGGCTTCCACAACTGGAATGCATAGCGACCTGAAAAACAGTACATGTTTATTGCCCCACACACAAACACCTTTCCATAGCTCACCACAGTTCCATGTTCTTGCCCTGTCTAATATGGGTGGCAGGTAGCCTAGCGTTTACAGTGCTGGGCCAGTAACCAAAAGGTTGCTGGCTCGAATACCTGAGCCATCAAGGTAAAATAATATGTTGAGGTGTCCTTGAGCAAGGCACTTAACCCTAATTTGTTCAAGGGGCGCAATACTATTGTGGCTGACCCTGTAAAATAACACATTTCACTGCACCTATCAGGTGTATGTGACAATAACACACACAGTGCATTCTGAAAGTATTCAGACCCCTTGACCTTTGCCATATTTTGTTACGTTACAGAATTATTCTAAAATAGATTATTGTTTTTTCCCCTCAATCTACACACAATACCCCATTATGAGAAAAGCATAAACAGGTTTTAGAAATGTTTGCAAATGTTTACATAGGTATTCAGACCCTTTATTGAAGCAGCGATTATAGCCTCAAGTCTTCTTGGGTATGACGCTACAAGCTTGGCACGCCTGTATTTGGGGAGTTTCTCCCATTCTTCTCTGCAGATCCTCTCAAGCTCTGTCAGGTTGGATGGGGAGAGACGCTGCACAACTATTTTCAGGTCTCTCCAGAGATGTTAGATCGGGTTCAAGTCTGAGCTCTGGCTCGGCCAGTAAAGGACATTCAGAGACTTGTCCCGAAGCCACTCCTGCGTTGTCTTGGCTGTGTGCTTAGGGTCGTTGTCCTGTTGGAAGGTGAACCTTCGCCCCAGTCTGAGGTCCTGAGCGCTCTGGAGCAGGTTTTCATCAAGGATCTCTCTGTGCTTTGCTTGGTTAATCTTTCCCTTGATCCTGAAAAACATCCCCACAGTATGATGCTGCCACCACCATGTTTCACCATAGGGATGGTGCAAGGTTTCCTCCAGATGTGACACTTGGCATTCAGGCCAAAGAGTTCCATCGTGGTTTCATCAGACCGGAGAATCTTGTTTCTCATGGTCTGAAAGTCCTATAGGTGCCTTTTGGCCAAACTCCAAGCTGGACTGTCATGTGCCTTTTACTGAGGAGTGGCTTCCGTCTGGACACTCTACCATAAAGGCCTGATTGGTGGAGTGCTGCAGAGATGGTTGTCCTTTATGGAAGGTTCTCCCATCTCCACAGAGGAATTCTAGAGCTCTGTCAGAGTGACCATCGGGTTCTTGGTCACCTCTCTGACCAAGGCCCTTCTCCCCTGATTGCTCAGTTTTGCCGGGCGGCCAGCTCTAAGAAGAGTCTTGGTGGTTCCAAAGGTTTTCCATTTAAGAATGATGGAGGCCACTGTTCTTAGGGACCTTCAATGCTGCAGACATTTTGTGGTACCCTTCCTCAGATCTGTGCCTCGACACAATCCTGTCTCGGAGCTCTACGGACAATTCCTTCAACATCATGGCTTGGTTTTTGCTCTGACAGGCACTGTCAACTGTGGGACCTTATATAGACAGGTGTGTGCCTTTCCAATTCATGTCCAATCAATTGAATGTACCACAGGTGGACTCCAATCAAGTTGTAGAAACATCTCAAGGATGATCAATGGAAACAGGATGCACCGGAGCTCAATTTCAAATCGCATAGCAAAGGGTCTGAATACTTATGTAAATAAGGTATCTGTTTATTTCTAATACATTTGCAAAAATGTCAAAAAACCTGTCATTATGGGGTATTGTGTGTAGATTGATGAGGGAAAAAATTAAATTAATCATTTTAGATTAAGGCTGTAACGTAACAACCTACCATTAAAATTATAGACTGATCATGTCTTTGTCAATGGGCAAACATACAAAATCAGCAGGGGATCAAATACACACATTGAGGGGAAAAAAGTATTTGATCCCCTGCTGATTTTGTACATTTGCCCACTGACAAAGACATGATCAGTCTATAATTTTAATGGTAGGTTTATTTGAACAGTGAGAGACAGAATAACAACAACAAAATCCAGAAAAACACATGTCAAAAATGTTATAAATTGATTTGCATTTTAATGAGGGAAATAAGTATTTGACCCCCTCTCAAATCAGAAAGATTTCTGGCTCCCAGGTGTCTTTTATACAGGTAACGAGCTGAGATTAGGAGCACACTCTTAAAGGGAGTGCTCCTAATCTCAGATTGTTACCTGTATAAAAGACACCTGTCCACAGAAGCAATCAATCAGATTCCAAACTCTCCACCATGGCCAAGACCAAAGAGCTATCCAAGGATGTCAGGGACAAGATTGTAGACCTACACAAGGCTGGAATGGGCTACAAGACCATCGCCAAGCAGCTTGGTGAGAAGGTGACAACAGTTGGTGCGATTATTTGCAAATGGAAGAAACACAAAAAAACTGTCAATCTCCCTCTGCCTGGGGCTCCATGCAAGATCTCACCTCGTGGAGTTGCAATGATCATGAGAACGGTGAGGAATCAGCCCAGAACTACACGGGAGGATCTTGTCAATGATCTCAAGGCAGCTGGGACCATAGTCACCAAGAAAACAATTGGTAACACACTACGCCGTGAAGGACTGAAATACTGCAGCGCCCGCAAGGTCCCCCTGCTCAAGAAAGCACATATACAGGGCCGTCTGAAGTTTGTCAATGAACATCTGAATGATTCAGAGGAGAACTGGGTGAAAGTGTTGTGGTCAGCTCTTTGGCATCAACTCAACTCGCCGTGTTTGGAGGTGGAGGAATGCTGCCTATGACCCCAAGAACACCATCCCCACCGTCAAACATGGAGGTGGAAACATTCTGCTTTAGGGTTTTTTTTCTGCTAAGGGGACAGGACAACATCAAAGGGACGATGGACGGGGCCATGTACCGTCAAATCTTGGGTGAGAACCTCCTTCCCTCAGCCAGGGCATTGAAAATGGGTCGTGGATGGGTATTCCAGCATGACAATGACCCAAAACACACAGCCAAGGCAACAAAGGAGTGGCTCAAGAAGAAGCACATTAAGGTCCTGGAGTGGCCTAGCCAGTAGAAAATCTGTGGAGGGAGCTGAAGGTTCGAGTTGCCAAACGTCAGCCTCGAAACCTTAATGACTTGGAGAAGATCTGCAAAGAGGAGTGGAACAAAATCCCTCCTGAGATGTGTGCAAACCTGGTGGCCAACTACAAGAAACGTCTGACCTCTGATTGCCAACAAGGGTTTTGCCACCAAGTACTAAGTCATGTTTTGCAGAGGGGTCAAATACTTATTTCACTCATTAAAATGCAAATCAATTTATAACATTTTTGACATGCGTTTTTTTGGATTTTTTTGTTGTTATTCTGTCTCTCACTGTTCAAATAAACCTACCATTAAAATTATAGACTGATCATGTCTGTCAGTGGGCAAACGTACAAAATCAGCAGGGGATCAAATACTTTTTTCCCCTCACTATATATATATATATATATTTAGTTCCAGTGGGTCAGAAGTTTACATACATTAAGTTGACTGTGCCTGTAAACAGCTTGGACAATTCCAGAAAATGATGTCATGGCTTTAGAAGATTCTGATAGGCTAATTGACATCATTTGAGTCAATTGGAGGTGTACCTGTGGATGTATTTCAAGGCCTACCTTCAAACTCAGTGCCTCTTTGTTTGACATCATGGGAAAATCGAAAAGAAATCAGCCAAGACCTCAGAAAAAAAATTGTAGACCTCCACAAGTCTGGTTCATCCTTGGGAGCAATTTCCAAACGCACCACGTTCATCTGTACAAACAATAGTATGCAAGTATAAACACCATGGGACCACGCAGCCGTCATACCGCTCAGGAAGGAGACGCATTCTGTCTCCTAGAGATGAATGTACTTTGGTGGGAAAAGTGCAAATCAATCCCAGAACAACAGCAAAGGACCTTGTGAAGATGCTGGAGGAAACAGGTACAAAAGTATCTATATCCACAGTAAAACCAGTCCTATATCGACATAACCTGAAAGGCCGCTCTGCAAGGAAGAAGCCACTGCTCCAAAACCGCCATAAAAAAACCAGACTACGGTTTGCAACTGCACATGAGGACAAAGATCTTACTTTTTGGAGAAATGTCCTCTGGTCTGATGAAACAAAAATAGAACTGTTTGGCCATAATGACCATCGTTATGTTTGGAGGAAAAAAGGGGGTACTTGCAAGCCGAAGAACACCATCCCAACCGTGAAGCACGGGGGTGGCAGCATCATGCTGTGGGGGTGCTTTGCTGCAGGAGGGACTGGTGCACTTCACAAAATAGATGGCATCAGGAGGAAGGAAACATATGTGGATATATTGAAGCAACATTTCAAGACATCAGTCAGGAAGTTAAAGCTTGGTCGCAAATGGGTCTTCCAAATGAACATTGACCCCAAGCATACTTCCAAAGTTGTGGCAAAATGGCTTAAGGACAACAAAGTCAAGGTATTGGAGTGGCCATCACAAATCCCTGACCTCAATCCTATAGAAAATGTGTGGGCAGAACTTAAAAAGCATGTGCGAGCAAGGAGGCCTACAAACCTGACTCAGTTACACCAGCTCTGTCAGGTGGAATGGGCCAAAATTCACCTAAATTATTGTGGGAAGCTTGTGGAAGGCTACCCAAAACATTTGACCCAAGTTAAACAATTTAAAGGCAATGCTACCAAATACTAATTGAGTGTATGTAAACTTCTGACCCACTGGGAATGTGATGAAAGAAATAAAAGCTGAAATAAATCATTCTCTCTACTATTATTCTGACATTTCACCTTCTTAAAATAAAGTGGTGATCCTAACTGACCTAAAACATGGAATTTTTACTAGGATTACATTTCAGGAATTGTGAAAAACTGAGTTGAAATGTATTTGGCTAAGGTGCATGTAAACTTCAGACTTCAACTGTGTACACACACACACATATACATATATATATATATATATATATATATATATATACACACATACACGCTGAACAAAAATATATAAACGTAACATGTAAAGTGTTGGTCCCATGTTTCATGAGGTGAAATAAAAGAACCCAGAAATGTTC